ACATACCAGACTGTGGCTCTGGCCCTGAAGAAAGGAGGTATGTTTGCTCATCCACAGAGAAGCCTTCACACTTACCCAGCGCAGGGCCTGCAGTAAGAAGGCTTTGAGGCGATCACTCCCAAAGACCAAATCGTTCTTCAACCTCTCATAATCCAATGAGGGCAACAATGGCACTTCCTGCATTTTCCTATGCAGCAGATGAAAAAAGGCACTTTCACTAAAACCATGTCAAATGACTTCTTCAGGCACAGCTGAAGTTAGGTAACTCAGGAAAACAACCTTGGTTCCACACAAGCAATTTCTACATGTCTTTCCTTTAAAATGACATTAAACACCATGTTTTTAAATGCTTTTCTTATATCTATTACCAATATTTATTTAAAATAGCAGAAGTCAAAGAAACTTTATGAAACTGGGGTTAGCTTTTCACCATTTCTGTTTGTTTATCGATAACCTTTTGCTCATGTTGGACAGTGGTCAACTGGTTATCGTAACAGTCAAGGTTACTCCGTTTCACTTCCTGGTCACACATACTAGCACAATGCCAGTGCTGTGCGTCTCTGCTCCACCAGGGAACACTCTAGTTTTGTAAAGCCGCTTTCACGAATTTATTTTTATTCTGAAGAGTGAAATTTGAGGTTCCACTAATGTTATTTCTATTCATATCAGATTCCCCAGATATCTACCTCCCTGCCCTATCCCCTAAATTCTACATCTACCACAAAGTGAGTGCATACATCCAGGACAAAAATACTCGATGGGTGCGTCTACATGAGACACTAAATGCACAGTAGACTAATTCTCCTGCGCATTAGCAGATCATGGCGAAAGCCATGCTAATACACTAATGTGCGGCAGAATTAATCTACTGTGCATCAGTATCACTTAAAAGGTGCACGCCGATTACTGCGCATCGAGTTAATACCTATTATTACAGGTACTAAACTTAATGCGCAGCAACTACAGCACATTAATGAACATGTAGATGCGCCCAATCAGACAAAAAACAAAAACAGACAGGCATATGATTATCATTCCCTCTTATAAGTCTAAGTTACTAAATCCATTGAAAAACTGGATCTAGGAATGCATAACATTGAGTTTAAGTAGGCATTCTTCCTTCTTCCTGCATTTCTGGGAAGCCAACCAATTATGACCACAGAGCTGCAAGTTTGAATGCAGCAACTGTGAAAAACACAGCCACCAAATGAGAGCGAGTAAAATCCTGTGTGGAAAGGCATAGCTATAGAAGTAGAAGCATTTTGGTGAGACTGAAATCTTGACGATCTAGGGTTCAGAACCGGAGGCTGAACCCCACTGCATTCATATGCAACATTTGTGGGTAACAGAATAGGCGCAAGGTTCACAGAGGTGAGCAATTCTCAGTAGCAGTTAAGTGGTGGATTTAGCTAACAGTGGGCATGTCTACATGTGTGCTTTAATGCGCATTAGCCTATCTTAATGTGCATTAAAGTGCCACAAAACACTGCTCTTTAGCTAATGCACATTAAAATAGGTTAATGCACCTTTTTGTAGTACTTCATAATGGAGATACTAAATTTAATCAGCTAATGCACATTAATGAACATGTAGATGCACCCAGTCTCTCTCTCTCTCTGTATATATATATTATATACACACACACGCACGCACGCACGCACGCACGCACAGAACCAAGTTGATATTAGTTAGAAACACTTACACAGGGACGAGAGATGCTCGCAACATTGTTGATGCCTGGATAAAAATAAGAAGGACATCTTAGATATTAATCCGAATGTGACAGAGGCAGTGCTTATTAGTCAAGTTAACAGTATCCCTTTTCACCAGGGAAAGGAGCTTTGAAGTCTTTCACTACTACCATCCTGATGCCATTTAGAAGCACAACCAAAGCTCGCTGGAGGGGACTGGTTTTACTTCACTGAGAGCTGGCTCAGAACATCCTTTCCATGCAAAAAGGCCATTTTCAGTATGATTGAGACCAATGCTTCTCTTTGCAGATATAATCTGGAAATTACTCCAAACCTAACCATTTCTAAAAGAACAATGATGAAAGGGAGCAAAGAAACACAGATCCGGAATCAGTAGACTATTGTAAGCAGTGATGATTACTATTTCATTAAGCATCAAGCCCCCTTAGGAAGGTGAAAGGCTACTAGGGTGTTTATTAGTGATATAAACATCTTTAATGCATTAAAAACCCCTGTACAGTCAAATGCACACAGACATACATGGACACGCACACAGTTTCCAATCGCCTACCATTCCTATTTTGCTGCTCATAAAATGAGAAGCATTAGTATGCTTGGTGCTGTAAAGAACTGAGGAAGACCATGCCTGAGCCAAACAATGTACACAAACTGGGCTGCCACGAATAGCACCTTGTAACAGATCATTTTGCTGGTCCTGCCTCAGATAAGCTATATCAAATCAGTTCATTTCCTTGTTTGCAGTATTTTATCAGTGAGCAGATATAGCTGTTTCTGCATAAATCAGAACTTCTGAATACCAGCAGTATGCTATGTACCTATTTTTATAAGTGACCTTTGCTCATGTTAATTGTGGGCAGGCCCAGGAACAAATACTTTTGGCACAAAAGGTTTTTGTGTCAGGCATTCTGCTGATGTCAACTGGGTGCAATATTCACAGAATATTCAGTGTCTTCTTTTTGTGATGATTGCATCTACTCACTTTCAAAAAATCTCTCATTACCACTTACACCTTTAAAATTGGTCTTCTCTTATACCTTAGGCTCTTTCAAGAGAGACTATAAAATCAATGTCTATTGTCTAATTTAAAACGGAGAGATTTAGAAGACAAAGGGCATGAAATACCATAGAGAATATTGAATTTCTCCATCTGACATAGCATTGAACACTTCGATTTCACAGTGGTCAGAAGTATCCTTACTAATACGAGGAACATTTCTCTCTGAAACAGGATAAGCCTATAGTGAGTTGCATTAGAAGGTATTCCATATTATGTTTAAGTCAATGAATATTTGCACATAATAGGAAATTAAAGGTTCTTAGGCCTTCAGATTAACCTATCTTGACAGCAGTTCTCCCATGTTACAGAACTTGCTTTTCGCAGTGGAAAAGTTTTTTGAATGTATCGTTTACCTTAAACTTATTACTCACTTTCTTTGATATGTGGATAGCTACCAAAGGTAAGTTTTGTTTTAAGAAAGCCTTCCCTTGATCAAAAGCTACCATCTCCTACTTGAGCCTGAAATGAAGTCACAAATTATTTCTACCACCTCAATCAGCTCCACCGCTATCAAGAGAGCAGTGACTTCGCAGCTAAGCCTATGCAAAGCAGCTAGTATTCGCTTTGGATTTGGATTCGGCCAATTTGGGGGACAGTCACTCAATTCAGTGTCCCGAATCGATTCCGGAGAATGTGATTCGGACATTCGGCTGCTGCCAAATCTCTGAATTGCTCAGGCCCATCCCCCGCCTGCTCTCCCAGCCCAGCAATGGCTGCCCCACCTGCCTCCCCTCACCTGGGGGGGAAAAAAGCCCCCACTCACAGGGTGCTGCCAGGCAGGGGGCTGATCCCCACTGCCCCGCACTGTGTGGGGGGCTCTGCATGAGCTCCCCAACTCCACCTGCTGTCCCACCCACCCCAGCTCTGGCCCTTTATGGAAAAAAAAACT